GCCGGAAGGAAGATGGTCATTGTTTTTTTTTTTTTTTTTTTTTTTTTGCCCTCTCCCCCCCCCCCCCCGTTCACTTCGTCGTCCCTCGGGGCCCAGTATCGGCGGGGCCCCGGCCGGCGGGGGGCCGTTGTACGTGCTTTTCCACGGGCCCCGGCCGGCGCTCTCGCTCACGCAGCCGTGCGCAGCCCGGCCGCAAGGGGCGCCCGGGCGCGGGAGGCCACAGACTTAGACCATCGCTCTCAGGCCATTATTCTTCGGCCCGCCGCCGCTCCTGCACCCGGGTCTGCTTTCTTGCGAGCAGAGCCACCAAGGGGCCTGGCATTCTCCCGGGCGAATGGACCAGAGCCGGGGCCCGGCGCCGCCTGAGCCGTCCCCGGTAACCAGTTCCCCCTTCTCCTCGTCGGGTCCTCCTGCGGCGGATGGTGGCCGATGAACGCGCGCTCGCGCCCGTACAACTCCCGGTCCCGGGTCGGCGGCCACCGCTCGGTCTCGCCATTTGGGGGGACGTATGCCCCCCGCCCTGCCCTCCCCCCCCCCCCGCCCCCCAGGCTGCCGCCCGGCTGCGGCTGCAGCCTTCCCCGCGCCGGGGGCCATAGTCTCTGCCGGCTCCGGCTTGCCGGCTCGCGAGCGAGCGAGCCCAGCATTTTGGCTCGTCCACACCGCACCGGCGCCCTGGCGCGCCCCACTCGCACACGCGCCCCGGGGTTGAGGCTGCCCATCATGCGCTGAGCACCGGCGTGCGGCCAAGGGCCCGCAGGGGGGGGGGGGCGGGGGCGGGGGACGAAGAATGTCCCCCGCCGCCCCCCTCCCCACTCCGAGGTCCAGGAAATCTGCGCACCCGGCCCCGCCCGCCCCGCCCCCCCCTGCCGCCTCATTCGGTCCCCCTGTTGCCGGGCCCGTTGCCTCCGGCATCCGAGAGCTTGGGCCGTTTTTATAAAAGACCGATTGTCGCTGGGGACCAAGCCCTGTTCCCGACCCTCTACACACAACAACGCGCCCCCCCCCCCCCCCTCTTTGCCGCCTCTCCTCCATTCTGCGTGCACCGCTCCCTCCCCCGCCCAATCCCTCCCCTCGTCGCCGCCTCCGCCGCTCTTACAAGCGCTACGCTGCCCGGGGCAGCCGATAAAGAGCGACAGTCTCTGCGTGTGTTTTCTCCCTCCCCCCCCGCTACATCGCGTCTGGACGCTGCCGGTACGTTCCCCATGCCTGCTGAGCCCGGTCCTCCCGCCACACGTCTCCGTCCCCACCCAACGGCACCGCCCGCTCCCTCCCTCCCTCCCTCCCTCCCTCCCTCTCTCTCCTCC